TGGTTGATATGACAACAAAATCAGTTCATAATTATCTATCATTATAACATGATACAAAACGTCTACCTTCCTTGTCTCCTTGTTCATGTATACTGTCTATTGGTTATTCGATTTATTGACCTTTTAGCGTTACATAATCTCTGGTTGAGCATTTATTGTTGAGGATGTTTGATCCCCAGAACTCACTTGGAAATAATCTTAATTTTGTAACTTTTATTCTGAAAATTTGAATTTTATATTTTCGTGCAAAGCGACGTTTAGTTGACCTACAGCTTACATTTCCCACTCGGAATTCCTTGACGGATTTTTTCAGTATGCTATTTTGTGGCTCTCCCAAAAGGGTTTCTGTCATTGTATAAATAAGCTTGATTTGTATACTGAGTGACCTCGTATTTTCTGGGTTCTTGTAGAATACATTCTCTATGCCTCATTAAGACTTCTTGATCTAGTTAGCAGAGCCGGGGACAACAGGTTAGAATAACCTATCGTGTCACTGTATCTTTGACTTTCGTTCTATTTACCGAGTAAGTTGAACTCGTAAGAGCATCAAACATATCCCTTATCCATACTTATTCTTATTATTGAACAAATAATGTCATCCCAACCTACAATTTGATTCAAGTATACGATGCATATTAGTCAGTTTACCACATGAAAATTGCAGCAAACTTATTTTACTCAAACTCCTACACTTATTTCTTGCATGTTCTAAAAAAAGTGTATTTGCCACAAAAAAGACGTTATTGTAACTGGTCGGTAGTTTATATACGTAACTATAGCAACTAAACAAATATAATAGATTTTTGAAAAAAGGAATTCATTCGTGAAGCTGATTACATTCTGATTTCATTTTTAACATGTCAAGTTACATGTTATCGTTAGAGATTTCTGAAGGTAGGATCTTTAGTTAGATCCGCATAGTTTGTCTCCATAAAGGATCTCTCTTGATTCTTACAGAGAATGTAGACTTTTTTGCTGAATAATCTTCTATTGAAATGTATTACACAGTATTATTATTTCATCATTAAAAGATGAATTGACATAAGGATTCTTTAAACTAAGTAGAATTCAAATTCATTTTGTATTGTTTCTTTAAATCTTCCCATTGATATTCAGAACTGCAACTGACCAGTCTTTCATTGGTATATGTGTACATCCTGTTCGGATTGCCTCAATATTGTCTTAAGTCATAAGTTAACAGGACTCAGTAGCTAAGTGGATAACGTAATGGCTCCTGAAGCGAACGAGACTAGGTTCGAGTGTCGGAGTGAACACTAACTGTGGGATGCAGGTGCATCCAGCTGACAAGTCCCAGGTAGGACGAAAAGTCAGGCGTCCTGGATTTTACTTCTATCTACCATACATCTCTGCTTACTAAAATTCAGTTAATTTTCTTGTTATTCACCCTAATTACTTATTTGAGGGATTTTCAACTAATTTTCAAAAGGAAAGTTTTTAATAGGATACTTGATGTAGGTTTGTTCTCTCGGCTGGATGGTTTGGTCGTAGAGCTTTCATCGTCCTTCTGAACGACTTAACTCATATGATTAAACAATAAATATTGAACATTGAACCTTCAATACTGAATTCAAAATTGACTGGTATTAATAAACGTAGTTACCTAATTGATTAATATCCGATCGAAGTTTAAAGTAACCAATTCTGAATATGAATTTCCAGTGGAAGAAATAAAAATCCGGAAGACATTTTGTAACTGTCACCCGGCAATATTCACTTTCTTGATATGGAAATGACAAGAAAACAAGACGGAACCCTGAGAATATCTATCTAAAGATAACCCATATGGACTGGCTAACTATCAAGTTTTCACAGCTGGATCCCCATTAGTCGAAAGAGAAACTTAATAATATCACTCTCTACGCCAACACAAAGAATATGTATTACCGAAGTCATAGATGATGAACTGGGCCTCTTAAAGAAGATACTTATCAAAAACGGGTTTCCTTCGATATCCTTTGATAAGAATATAAAACCAAAACCTCTGAAAACACAAACAACTTCAGTCGAAAAGAAAACATCATTCATGAAGATCGACTTTAAGAGTGACAGAGCCACATACGTCTGAAAGAGAAGAATTTCTGATTTTTTTAAAAGAACCTTCTTAGCAGTAACGTTGCGAATAGTATTTTCCAGCCGGTCATTGTTCATCAATAATCTTAAGGATAAATTATTTCATTTGACCAACTCAATATGCATTTGCCAATTTACCTGCTCATGTGGAGTTAGGTATATAGATCGTTCGATGCATACTTTCTCCAAAAGAATCCAAGAACGTTATCCGGCGTGGCTAAGAAGAGGAGGAAACGGCTCAATAAGAAGTTCAATAATCGAACACCTTGTGAACACAGGTCACTCAATCAAGACGGACTCTGAGTTCAAAGTCATCTACAAGGTAAGTAGAAGTATAATTATATTGCATCCTATTAGCATTGCCGAAGCGGTAGCCATACATATTGAAAAACCAGAATTGTGCATCCCAAAAGAGATTGGTACAACCTTTTCTTCTACCATGGTCTTAAAGTCTTATAACTGTTTCTTTTGTTTTTTCTTCCTTTATAGCTATCTGCTTCCTCTCCTTAAACCTTCTATCCCCAACTGGTTTATTTCTGTTTCTATAATCCTCCTGATTACATTTAATCTCAATTTCAACATTTTATCTTATCATGCTTAACCATGATACCTTTGTTGATTGTAACTCACTGTCACCATATGTAACAGGGTTTATTATCATTGTTTATTGTATATTTGCAATTGTACAGCATTGAAAATGAATTCACCGAAAAGAGAATAGGAATAATTAGGATTGATTGATATATTCATTATCAACCTGAGGTCTCCTTAATACGCTACTGGTAAGTAACTATCAAGTCTACGCAAAATGCTCATATAACTAATCTGAATCTAGTACACCTTTTCTCAAAAACGTCCACTAAATAATCAACAAGGTAACAACTGTGAGTTTTATTCATATTCACATACGTAAATCTTAATGAACAAGCACCCAAATTTTGTGCTGATGATGTCGTCCAGAAGGACGATGAAAGCTCCACGGCCAAATCATCCAGCTCAGAGAACAAAACGTCATCAAAAACAAGCACTTGATCTCGAATATCAGAGATGTGCATTCTAAAGTTTTTATTTTCAAAGGTGAAAGGAGAAATTATTCGAAAAAATCCAATTTGTTTACTCTCACTAAAACATAGATGCTTTTTACAAGGAATATTCAATCTTTAATAAATATCTAAACAGATATATAGAATTTAAGGAGAACTACGTCAACTTTTTAACCCCCTCCACTCCGTTAAAATTAACTGAATGTTTATGTTTAAAATCTATGAGCTCGACACCATAAAAAAAATTAGAATATTTTCATAGTTGAAATCATGATTCAATTGAAGCTAGACCACCATGGAAAACCTGAAAGCACTGGACGGCCGTTTCGTCCTATTATGGTACTCCTCAACAGTGCGCATTCACGATCCACGATAGTTTACTGGTAAAGAACTTCCAAGCTGAAACTAAACATCCTATTAGTCATTTCCAGTGTTTAAATAGTTTCTAAGCTAAATTTCAGTCAGTGATCATTTATTTTATTCCTAACATCTTTTCAAATGCTTTAACCAATTACTATTTCCAAAGAGCTAATTCACACAATACTTTACATCATATGTTGTATTTGAAACACACAATCATGTATCCGTTGTTGGTACAGTTACCACAATGATGATTACTGTAGTAAAAGTACTTTTTCCTCAGTTGGTTGCCTTTGTTTTACACTTTCGTTGGAAATTAACTTACCATATACTATCGACCAGTTCATACAACAAATGATTGAAAGGATAATTCAATTTCATTGAAGCTAATACATTAGTCACTTTGCACATTGTGAATAATATCTGTCATATATCTGTTGTACTTTTTAACACTAAAAGTACTTACATTTATGAAAGAATATTACATCAACAATCAAATGACTATGAAAACATTTCATAAATAAGATACAATGATAATCAAGGTTATGAATGAATGTGTAGATGGCATCGAGTCACGATTGACTATGATCACCACTACAATAAGATTACACGTCATAAAAAACGACTTGGTTCCTTCGATAGGCCAAAAACCAGAAGGTTATAATTGGTTCAGATAAGGTATATTTATTGGCGATCTCGTGGTATAGAAAAAATACCGAAATATGCCAACGAGTACAGGCAAAAAGGCGAAGCGTAAAAACGTTCGAACGAATAAGATGGACAACGGAACGAAAAGTAAGTTTTGATACAGTTAAACAAAACGAGTACAGTAAAACAATCACTGGTACAATTGGTTATAATAATAATAATTGTTTCCATTATACCAATCGCGTTCTCGTCGAGAAAAGTAGGTCACTACAAATGAATGAATGATTCAAAGGATGAAACAGCAAGTTCATTCATTGAAATCATTCAATGATCTGATTAGTTCCATCAGATCAATCAAATGGAAATGATATGTTACCCTGTCTTTGTCAACAATTTATTGATTTGAATTAACCGGGTTTATGTGATAATGGTAAACTAACCAATTCATGATGAGTATTATTCACTTTTGATGTTTGTCTTTTAAATTTCATCTTTAGATCTGTATAAAACTTTATTATACATAGACGAAAATGTCTATTCATACATGAATATATGATTGGATTCAATGCAGAATTAATGAAATACATGTAAAATAATACACGTCTTACTTGAATAGTCCAATGTGGTTTATCTTTTAAAAGTACCAATTGTCTTTTTCGTATTGGCATTGTTGTATAAACAAGATATGGTGTATAAGATATAATGAAATTAGCTGCAACTAATGCTAATGTTTGAGCTGTACGTACATGTGGTTTACGTCTACGTTCTAAATTAGCTGCTGACCATTCAATTCTTGATAATTGAGGATTATTTATTTCTATAGTACATTGGTTTTTCTCATTGTCAGGTAGCTTTAAACTAGTCAAATGTGTCATACAATGTGACTGTTCATTGTCTTTACCACTATTACGATCATGGAACTCTTGATCTTTAGGAATTGAACACTGACTAGTTTGAATAAATTCAGTGTTATCATTTCTTTCACATAAGCATACACAACTTATTCTATCTAAATTAGACGTGACAAAACTTATCGATGTTGTCATATCTGTTAGTGTTGGATGAATTCCCAATGTATGTTGTTGTAGATTTGATTGAGGTTGTGATAAATTGGACCCTTGTTCATAGCAACTCTGTCGATGTTGTTGACCATTCTGAAGTTCCAATTGTTGTTTTTCATCATGTTCAAAGATATTAGAGTTTTGTTTATCTTCTTGTTCATTTTGTAAACTATTTGATTCTTTCAACTTTTTACGAAATGATATTCGTTTTTTAATAGAATTCCATTTGGTAACATTCATATCAGTTGAAGAATTCGGTGTAGCATGAATACGTACCCAATTACCTTTCATTTTTGAATTACCATATTTCTCATACATAAATGATTCATGCCTCCAAACAAATAGAAATATTAAAGCATATACACCAGCTGTTCCAAGAAATAATACTAAAAATAATAAGAGTACACATATTTGATGATACCAATATAATTGATCATTAATGTATGTATCATCTTTATCGCATCGTTTGGATACACGTAATTGATTAAGCCATTCATCATTTTCCAAGGTTGATAATCCATACTTCAGTGTATTTAAATCTAATAATTCATCACGTTCTTTAAACACATCAATAGCACGTACATGTAATCCCATTGGGATAGCACATAATAAACCAATCCATAATATAATGGCTAATGATAATACAATCTGTGTACGTTGCATTTGTATACCAGGTATAAAACAAATTAATAAAAATCTTTCCATTGCTATTAACATTAATATACATGCTGAAATAGGTACAACAAATCCTTTCATTGTTAAATGTATACGACATATCCAATCAGTTGTATCACCTGTCCATATATCTAAATATAATGTACATGGGATTACAATAAGACAAATAAATAAATCATTACAAGCTAGCAATAGTATAAATAAACCAGAAATAATACCTTGTTTAACTTGTTTTCTAAATGCCCATATAACAAGACTATTCCCTATGATTCCAATTATAGCAATAGTTATAAGAAAGATTGTAGAAGCAATAATACTTGGTAAATAAATCTCAACTGGTTCAGTGGTAAAATGTGTTAAAGGTTTATTGTGTATAGAAAAAAACAATGAATGATTAGTTTGTATCATTCTAGTTGATAAATTCATTTCTAACATTATTTAGATTCAAAAAGGAACAATAGACTATACTTTCATGAAACAATTGAATAGTATTTGTTCATGTATATGAAGTCATATAAAATGACGAACTTTATTCAATTCAATGATAATCTAAGAGTTTTTTTTGTTTTAAGTGATGGAATTCATTGTTTACTGTAAATCAAAAAGTAATAAAATCTTCGATCTCTTCGTTGGTACTTCTCTCTTTTTACTTTAACAATTTCAGTAGATAAATTTCTCGAAATTTGATTGGCTATTCGTTCTGAATAATTTGATTGGTTATTTGTTCAGATCAATTTGATTGGTTAATAAATCATGATAGGGGGAGGCAGTTAAATCATTCGAAATGAATAGAAATGATTATTACCAATGATTAGTAGTGTTGCTAGTTATGGAATTGGATTTTTTTATCGATTTTCTATGGCATATTTTTTTATTTACCTAATTCCCCCTCCCAAAAAACAGTTGACCTTTAATTTTTTTTATTTTCTAAATGGAAATACTACTACTTTCATTTATATTAAGTAGATAAGATAAAGTGATTTATTTGTTATGATTATTACCTGAATATTCTTTAGGATCCAGGTAAACTTTCATAGAATTTCATCATTATTTCATAATAAACACTTGTTTTATATACATTATTCAAGTAAAATGTTTATTTTGGAATTTCATATTGTAAATCTTTTGTTGTTTTTTTATAACATATTTGGCCAAATGTATTAATAACAACTACTCTCCCTCCCTCTGTCGCTCGCTCGCTCTCCTTCACTCCCTCTCTTCCTATATAGATCCAAGTCTATTGGTCTATCTCAAAGCGATACATTCATTTTAATGGATCAATAACATTTATCTGTTAAATTTGTATGTTCCATTTTCAATGGGTATGATGTTGGGGCTGATTTGTTTTACTTAGAGGATAATGATGTATATTATTCTCAATTTAGTTTATATTATGTAATTGAAAAGAAAATGATGAAAAATGGTCTAAAAATCAATATGGTATAAATGGAATCCATATTGAACAGTGATAACGATTTTCTAGATGTTTTTATTTATTGTAGCCTGTACTGGTGAAACTTCGCCTGAAGCTCCTATGGGGCTGCTGCCGGTCCCAAGTCCGAATAAAGGAGGAGGGTTGGGTTATGGGGTTAGCGACTTCATCCTGTAGAAAACTAACTCACTATAAAAACTCTAAATGAATACTAAACGCTGTATTCAGGATCCATCGATGTGGTAGTATTTTAGATCGTCTATCTTATAGACTTAGACGAAAAACAACAGTACTATGAATATTTATGCTTATTAATAATTTCGTTATGTTTGAACCGATGAATAATTAGTGTATCAAATATATGCAGTAAACCAATTTATAAAGGATGGTAAAAATCTCATATATCATTTGTAGGAAGTATTCAGTAGCTAAGTGGATAAAGCAATGGCGTTTGAAGGGAAATGTACTTGGTTCAAATCTCAGAGTGAACATCAACTCTGAGATGCAGGTACATCCAACTGACGAGTCCCAAATAAGAAGAAACGCACATCCTGGATTCCACTGCCAGCCATTATTCATCTTTGCTTAAAAAGTTTGTGAATGAAGGCAATATCGAGGCAATACACACATTATGCACATATACCAATCCTTCAATTACCTAACAGGAAACATACAGTAGTATGAAATAAGTTCACAGACAATAATGAATTCAAGTTTAGAAGAAAATAAATGCCAATTAATAATAATAATAATAATAATAATAATAATAATAACAAATAGTGGCCTTTTTACTCTGTAATGTAGCAAAGGAATGCGTTTAATTATACAATAATAACTAATGTAATTAAACCATAACATAATTACTGACTATTCTTAATATGATATTCATCGGAAATATTTGTAGTTAGCTGTCAAATAACCGACACGTTTGAACATAAAATCTGTTTAAAGCAATAAAAAAAAAACACAATTTGGATTCAGAGTTCTGGGCCTAGATACACAACTTCTCATCTATGAAAATGTTTGATTTGATTAGTAAATATTAACTTGAAGCTTGTTTGTGCTTAACATCTGATATTAACTGAATAGAAGGAACTAGTTAATAACATATCTAAGTAAATAATGAAACAATATAGTTTGCAGAGCTGATTGATTTCTGGGCGAGACTATAATTTATGGAAGAGCCAATCAGAAGCGTTTGAAGGATTTCAAGGTCACGGCACTCATTTGAGTACCTGGTGCTCATGTACGATCAATTCACAGAGAATTATAAAGAAGACCTAACAATTAAGCGGCTACAAGAAATTAGACTACTAAGAAGTTACTGTATTTGTAATTGTGGTGATTAAATGACTTGTAGACCTTGTGCAGACTACCATGATGTTGTCCTTCGATGTAATATATGTTGAAGGAAGATGTTTGCTGGAATAGGAACCTTTATCTCTCGGTCCAGACTGAGACTAAGGCATATTATAATGATTGCCGCATACTGTATAATAAAAGTACCATTAACATTGGCTGCAATAAGTGCAGATGTTACTGAAGCTTCGGCTGTGCAGTGGTATGAGCATTGTAGGGACATATCCATAATAAAAATGATAAACCTACACAATTGGAGTACACACAAACAATATTGAAGCCATGTGGTCGAGGCTGAGTGAGTTTTTGTGACCTTATCATGGTTCCAGGGACCAACTATTATGGAGCCATACGGATGAGTTCCTCTACCTTATGCATTACGATTTTGGAGCCTTTGAATCTTTTTCTAACCTTGACAAGTTTTTGGACCATATAAAATAAGTGTATCCACTCTAATTCTTTGGCGTTGCATATTTTTACTCTATACTGACTGTTTACTGATTGGCTAACATTTCTCAAGGTCATATTAGATTCGTTTAAAGGTCGTTCATAAATTATAGTCTCGCCGATTTCTGTTAAATAACCACTGAGAATTATAAATAAGGGAGTGGCTGTTTTGTTCTAGCGTTGAGGCTTCTCCTCAGTGTACACTCATGATCGCATCAAGGAACGAACAGAAGACTTTAATCTTCATGAATCCCCTTTTAGTAAAAGAAGGACACCAGTAGCGAGTGATGGTATCTAAAACTTTACATATTAGTTGTGTACGAAACCAATTTGTAAAATATGTGTTTGACAACGAATAACAAACTAGAAAATTTACTCAGTTAAGAATTGTCAATAAATATATATCACAATCTTATGATAGTAATTTTGAAAGATGTTTTCTGTACTATATGTGAACAGTCTTCACCAGAAACTGTCGTCTGTTTAGAGAGCCATTAAAACTTGAGTTTCACTGGTTTTGTCCTGATCCACGCATCAATCATACTAGACGAACAGACCTCTCAATAATTCATTAAAGTCAATAACTTCAACAACTTCAGTTCCAATCAATAGCGTGAATTGATTACAAATATCTCAAAAACATGAAGACCACTGGTTTTTCTTTCACCTTGTCATTTATTGTTGTATCCCGGGGAGAATTATGAATGGTAACTTTTGAGAACTATTTATGAACTAATATGATATGTATATTTCCTATTGTATAATTGTTAAGTAACCAAACTATTCATATTCGTGTCCTTCTTATCCTAAGCTTTATTTTGACCTATAGAACATTATTATACGATTCACCATTCTTGAGTTATACTCAGTCTATTAATTACTGCCTCCAACATTTACAGCCGCATTTAGCTAAATATTGTACAAATAATATTTTCTATTTTATTGGTACGATGTGGTCAGTCTGTTTGGTATATAAACTCAGTATAAAATCATTTAGTATTGTTTGTTTGAATCTTCCCATCGATGTTTCAGGACTGCAGCTCGTCAGTCTCTAATTGGCATATGTGCATACTGTGCGTATTGCCTCGATATAGCCTTAATTCACAAGCAATATAAGCAAAGATGGATAGTGGCTAGCAGAAGAATCCAGTTTGACGCGCGTTTCGTCCTATTTGGGACTCGTCAGCAGGATGTATCTTTTTTTGAATAAACTCCCTATGTTTGAGAATAATAATTCATATTGCAGTGGCTGTTGTTGATGTTCTGGACTTAACTGGTTGATCAAGGCAGATAACAGGACTGATAAGTGCTCAAGACTGCTCATACGATTTTTTGTATCATTGAGCGATCGATAAATCACTGCTCTCTGATGGGCGGCCTTATAATGTTCATATATCAAATAGGGCACGTACACATACTCAGACAATCGATATAACATTTATGAACACCTACGAACCCGCACTCGCAAGATTCCAGGTTTTCCAGGTTTTCGATGGTGGTCTAGCTTCAATTGACTCATGATTTCAACTTTGAAAAATACTAAAATCTCCACTAATCCCCTTCCAAATATTCTCAACTCAAAATATATTGAAACAGCTTTTCCTTTTTTTTCTCTTTTTTTTGAATACACGAAAAACTGAAAACAAAGCTGTCAACAATAACAAGAACGACCACAACAACTTCCGAGTGTCATCAACAGTTTTACAATGTAACATTACTTTTTTGTGGTATATTTAACATTGAACATTCATTCATTTAATCACCAAGGGGGAAAAAGCCCATGGTGGATGAAAAAAAATTAATTTTTTTGTTCTCATCTGTTTCCTCCATTGATTTTCATTTTTAAAAATAAAAAAAAACCATCGTCTATTTAACAACTAAACAAACCGTTGATATAATTAGGGGACATTTCAACAGCTTGTTTTAATCTATTTTTTTTAAATAGTTGATTTGATGGTTAAAAAATTAAAACACCAATAGGATAAACGAACATATACATAAGAATTTTTTTCGGTTTTGTTTTATTAACCCACACTGACGACAGAGATTATAATTATTACTATTACTATTGTTACTATGGTTTATAATAAGCATTTTATGCATAAGTTAAAAGAAAGAATTGATTATTCAGTTAAAATATATTTTATCTTGGATAAAATTTTGACTATTTCATTCTGTAAAATAATTAGAAATTCTG